GCGGCGAGTCTCCACGGGCCAGGAGGTGTTTCCTGTGTGAATCTACCGTATGTATGCAGATGCCAGGGACCGCGCCAAGATGCGAAGCTGTGTGCTATTGAAACATACTTTTCTTTTGATTTTTGTTTGTTTTCCGGAGGGGGGGTTAAAGGCCAGTCTTCGTCAGGATCCTTAAAATCGCAGTGATCGCGGAAAACGCTGGATGTTCCGGCAAACGTTCAATCTTTAGGAAGACGGTCTCCAGCTGAGCCCAGCTGTAACGAATCGATCGATCTGATTCGTCGGCATACCTTGCCGGCGTCGAGTCCAGACCAGGCACGGTGAGCGGCGGCCGCGGTCCGGTCCTGCCCGGTCCGGTCCGGTCCGGTCCGGCTCGGACCCGCAGCTGCGGAGCGGAAAGGCTGAGCGGGTTGGGACGTGGCGGAGCGCGGGAGCCGGCGTGTTTATCGCCGCGGAAATCGCCACGGCACATGTCGTGGATTCCAGTGCAGGAGACCAAAGCGGCTCGGGGCTGCTTCAGGTTTCACGGTGGGGGAAGGATCTCCAGAGTAAACAGGAAGCCTCTGAGCTGGGCTGCGGCCCGGGCTGAGAGCCCGTGTGATCGTGCTGACCTGTGCTCTCCTTCCCCCGGCCTGCGGTGGGGTTATACAGGACGGCAGCGAGCACCTCCAGTGGGGGCAGTTCGGGCTGGACGGGGGCACTAACGGAGCACGACTCAAACACACACACACACAGAGGGAGATCTCTCCAGAGCTCTTTGCTCTGCTGTAAACTCAAATGTCTTATCTACAAGTCAAATCAAGATGGAATTATCCAAATGATTATCGGATTTAATATCCAATTATCCAATTTACCTGAAGAAGGCTCCACAGCCAAAGTATTGTTTTCTTCCTTCTCTTTTCAGCAGGGAATAAACCTATTACTTGTTCCTTATCCAAATATTGCTCTCTCTCTCTGTCTGTGTGTTGTCTACTTTTAGACTTACACTATCAACCTTACACTTGTTTTAAAATGACTTTAATAATTCCTCACACTTATATAGCGCTTTTCTGGACACTCCACTCAAAGCACTTTACAGGTAATGGGGATCCCCTCCACCACCACCAGTGTGCACCCCCACCTGGATGGTGTGGCGGCAGCCATAGTGCGCCAGTCTGCACCCCACACACCAGCTCTCAGTGGGGAGGAGAGCAGAGTGATGAAGCCACAACATAGATGGGGATTATTAGGAGGCCATGATTGGTAAGGGCCAATGGGAAATTTGGCCAGGACACCGGGGTTACACCCCTACTCTTTTCGAGAAGCGCCCTGGGATTTTTAATGACAACAGAGAGTCAGGACCTCGGTTTTACGTCTCATCCGAAGGACAGTGCCTCTTTTACAGTATGGTGTCCCCGTCACTATACTGGGGCATTAGGACCCACACAGACTGCAGGGAGAGCGCCCCCCCCTGGCCCCACGAGCACCTCTTCCAGCAGCAACCTTAGCTCCTCCCAGGAGGTCTCCCATCCAGATACTGACCAGGCTCACACCTGCTGAGCTGCAGGGTGACATGGCTGCTGGCTGACTTTAAGATACAAACTTCTACCGTGAAAACTTTCAATCCCAAAGTGTGGGAACCTCTCCTTCAGCTTTTTCCTTTGGTCAGGTGGGAAATGCCAGGATGCCATACAGCAGCACTGCCACCCTCAGGCTGATCTCCAGAGCTGGGCCTCCCCAGTGAGGAGCTGGCAGGCTTCTCGGGGGGAGGGAGGGTCACTTCTGCAAGCGGTGTTGGCCGACCAGCAGGTGGCGCACTTTCCTCTCGACCGGAATCTCCCATCCGGGGCCCAGTCTGGTGACCTGGAGCGATGTTCAGGAGCAGGTGTCCTCTTCCAGCTGGGATGTGAAATCGAGGTGCTTGGTTTAGCCAATGACTGGGTGTGGCTCACAAGAGCAGGACGGAAGAGAACCCACACCGGCGCTCCAGAGACAGATCAATCTAGCCTCCCTAGATGTCCTCCTTAACTCACTGAGTGCAGTCGTTTCTCACCTGTCCAGCAGATGCAGAGTGGCTGCTGTGTGCTGCCCATATGTTCGTGGTGAAATGCTCTAGAAAAATGCATGTAGTTGTTGGTATTATTGTATAGAATTAAAGAATTATCTGTGGATTATTTACAAAACAAAAAAGTGTACCGGGAGAGTACACTACGATTAGAACAACTTTTGTAATGAATCTGTGCTGAGAGGACATGAGAGGGCTGACTCTCCCAGCGTGTCATCATCGGCCTGCTTCTCCAAAAACCACGGCTCAACCTGTCCGATCCAGCTGCCGCTGGTGAACAAAGACGTATTACTGCATCTTCAGACAACCCTCTCAGAGCGAACTCTGGGGGGAAAAGTTTCCAACACTGAATCTGTAACTGCAGGAGACAGATAAATATAAATCACAAAGCAACAGGCTATATACGTTCATGGTCACATCACTACATCAGCACTGTTTGTTATATTAAAAAATATATTTTTACTGGTTAAATTAAGAATGCAATATATTACCCTTTCCCCTTTAAGAAAAAAAAAACACGTCAGTTGGAAATTATTTATTTGGCCACTTCACAAAACTTGTTTATTTCAAACATTTCTCAACTATTACATGACCGTCTCTAGTATAACAGCTCATGAAAGAGTTAATTAAAGTGCATCACAGAAACACTATATTGATTGTACAGCATGTCTAAAGGATCTGAAAAGGATTTTGACACTATAAATGAATTTGAATAAGACAGGAAATGGTGGTGTGCTCTCATTCCAAAACAGCATTACGACATGCAAAGATGGGTTTTCCAAATTGAATACCTGACATTTATTTACTAAAGAGAGTATCAGCTGGACGATGAAGCCAATTACTTCACTGTCATTCACAAATTCACTGTCTTTTATGAATCTTGCATACAGAGATGAATGACGTCATCTAAAAGATAGCTACTGGCATTCTTCTGAAATGGAGTTACATATCCATTACCTTGGAGCTCCACAGTGTTGCTATGGTGACGAATAACATTCCAAACAATTTTACCAGGGATTCTGGTTACAATCAGCAGAATGTATCCTAATGGACACCACTGGCTTATCGAACCCAAAGCCACGAGTTTCCCACACAACATTACCAACATAAAGTTGCCAACATTACAGTCAGCTGAGCAACCCTTTAATAGTAACAGTTTAAAAGCTTTTCAAGGATATTCAGCATATAAAAACGCATCCTACTTCAACGGAAGAGTTGCTGTCTTTTCAATGAATAGCTAGCATATGTCAATGTGCAGTAACACACTTTGGTGCATGCCTCAGGAATAAGCTGTAGCTTTTCCAGTTTGGGTTTACTAAAGAAGTTGTGTGTTTTTAATAAAAATGCAAACACACCTAAAGCACAGACAGATCTTTCTCACCCCCTTCTCCCACAAGTCCACCCCTGCCAGCCTCCTGATGACTTTCGGGCCTGTCCAGAGCAATCAAGCCCCCCAGCAGTGCATAACAGGACAACATCTTCCCATTACTGTTTGCTTTTCAATTACACAAAGACTTTGCAAATTACTGCTTATCTTGACAAGTGGCCTATTCAACAGCTTGCACTGTGTTTACACATGAGATCAGAATTCATGGCTTTCAATGTCCCTTTAAGTGCCGCACTGCGCTATAAATTCAAACTCTCTCTCTGGGCACCTGAGTTGAGCAGCCTTTCGAAACAAAACACTGAACCTGGGAATGAAATATAACCTAGAGAAGATAAAGCTTGTTCTTGAACACATCTCTGCTGCCACATTGTTCCAACATTCCAGTGCAGTGAATGTCTTTTGTCATAAAGTCTTTGCCTTGGTGCTGTTACAGGCATTCAAAATATCACAGTATAGCTGTTGAGAATCACAGTGTTAGGAATGAGTCGATCACTGACATCCAATAAGAAAGATTAATGCACACACAAAAAGAGAATAAAACAACAACAATAATAATAAGCTGTAAAGCTGTATGAATATCTACACTACTCCTGGACACATTACTCTTTCAACGACACTCTGTCATTGTTGCCAATGGATCACAAGGTATCGTGAGGCTTGTAGGGGTATCAGATACACCTGTGGGGAGGACTCTACCCTCAGGGCTCCACTGTGCGAAAATCAGGCTCCATTCAAATACCCAGACAGAGCAATCAGACAGTCACAGCCTCAAGTCCATGCATGGCTCTGTGCGAGGGCATGCGGCTGATATCATCTGGGAAACACTTTCAGGAATGCAGTTTTCCCTCTGAAACTCATAGACACAGTAAGGCTATTCCCCGGATTGATTCAGCTTACATGGTAAAGAAAAACACAAACAAAAAGTCTCCTGGAATCTGTTTCCCATCACCCACGCTACGCGTGCAAAATGCCAACAGAGCCTCAGGCAAGACCAGCTGTGGCAGTGCAGAGACATAGATGATATCACCTAGCTCTTTCTTCTGTCTTACAAATATTACTTACGGATCTGCAGACAGGAAGCAAAGCATCTATTACTTCCTGCACGGAATGTGATAAAATATTTTTTTTCCATATGGAAGTTTCAAACTTCCCATCACGAAAATGTAATTGTAATTGCAATTAACTAAAAAAATAATTGGCGAAATTAGAAGTACTCTCTGGTTGAATATTCTGTTTTAGATATAAACCATGCTGCTTTTAAATCAAAAAGTCATTTTTTTCACATCAAAACAGGTTATAAAATCATATCAAATTGCAAAGTGTTGACATGAAGGATCTGCTGGTGAGAAAAACAGAAGTTAAATGTTTGTTGTTGGAAAATAGATGTGTCTTGAATTCGATAGTCGGTAGAAGTTAAAACAGCAGGTCACAAGGGGAAAAACAAGTCTCCTCAAATTCCAGGGTGATGCATGTGAACCAGCAGCAGTTTTGGAATGTTGCTCTGTTCTTGGTGAAACGTGACTGGGATCAAAGGTGAAACAAACTGGAACACAAGGGACTGGACTGGGAGCCTGGGGCTGATGACACAGGGAACGCCAGTGCGCCGATGAGGTGGGATCATCTGTCTGATGAAGGGTAGGTCCCTACAGTCCACTGCCTATTCTCAGGCTAATTGAACCTATCCAATGATTACAGTATTTCCTTGGACAGACCTATTCATAACCCATTTCAGAATTTAACAGAGTAATTGGGCCTAGAATTGGCATTAACGCTGTACAAGGAACTGATTATCAGAACACTCCCCCTTCTCAATTAAACCCATGCATAATTAATGCTTAATAGGAATGCTTATTACTGGAGTGTGTCACACAACCTAATTTCCAGCTTTGTCTGTGTCCACATTATTGGCAACCGAGCAGTTCAGACACATACAGGTGAGCAGCAGTTAATTAAAGACGCCGAAGACAAGCCGCCCTCAGTTCTGTTGGCTAAATATCTTGGCCGAAATACTACAATGGCAGAGAAGATCTGAAGCAAAGAACTGGGGAGAAGATCCTTATTTAGAAAACACTACTCTTATGTATTAATTAAAACAACGTGGGCAAACTGTAGTGGAAGGTCTGTCCTTGCATAAGGTTGCCAAAAGGTTACCAGGGTGGGTACCCTTCTGTGCCTTTACCTATCTTGAGAACAGAAGAAGAGTTACAAACCAGAGGAGGCCATTAATCCTCTCCAGTTTGTTTGGTAATTAGTAGCTAGTTGATCCCAGGTTCCGTCCAGCTCTTTCTTGAAAGAAATCCGGGCGTTAACTTCAGGAACATGGCTGGGTAGCTTGTCCCACGCTCCCGTGAAGCTTTGTGTAAGGGTGCCTTCTGCTCTGTTTTAAATGTGCTTCTCCCGAGTTTCCACTTGTGCCCCCTGGTTGGTATTTCACTGCTGATCCTGGAGAGGTCCCCTGGGTTCACTTTCTC